TATTATTGGAACCCGTGTCGGTTACCTGGCTAAGCATGTGTTACATAGAGATACATAATAAGTAACATTGAAGAAATATGATTGAAATCGAATTAACTTATCTTGAGATGAAGCTGATGCTTCTTCATAAAATGGACTAATGGCTGTGCCAGCCATTTGCCATTGTGGTGCCATGCGACTAGCTTCAGAGTAAGATGACGGACTTGATAGGTCCACTTGTCATCAATGAACGTGACCGCCGCGCCTAAGAAAGCGTGGATATTGTTTGCCGTCGTCCAACCATCGTGAATGAGGGTGAACCTACCAACGTTGCCCTTGCAGAGTGGGACCATTTCGATTTCAAAGTTAGTTTGAAATCGTAAGTTCCAAAAAGTAATCACCACTCACATTGATTTCTTTCAAGACAGTGTCTTGAAAGGACACATACATGCCACCGGCTTCTCTGGCCACCCATGTTCGGCCGAAGATCTTAACGTTTTGGCGAGCGTAGCAAAAGGCAACACGGAGGAAATGGTCCTCAATTCGATTCCAAGGAAGGGCTTGCGCTAAGATCCACACCATAAGAATCTGGTTGAGGACTTCGATTTTGAAAGGTGGTGTTTTGGAATCGAAGAACTCAACCATCTGTCGCTGGTTGGTTTCTTTCTTCTTCGTCATGATATCGATAGCACTTGCTGGAAGATTGGCTCCTGAATCAATTTCAGCTTGACGACCAGCGCATGGTTTTCGAACTCGGCCGACGGCGTAACCGTCACGGTGCTGCTTGAGATTCGAATTAGAGTCATAATGAATACAAGGTTTTTTGGGACACCAGAGACACGGATACACAAGCGGTTTCATGTTCGGATCCTGTCAAATGAAAAGAAATATCAGTTCATGGACTGATATTAGATAAACAATGTGAATTTAATATGAGAAACATCAATATCATCATCTTACATCATCTGGTCCCCACTCGGGTTCTCCAAAATAATCCTGTACAGGATCATATTGAGCGGGATTGTCATTGTCTTCACCTTCCAATACCTTAGCACGCTTGGCTTTCTGGCGCTGGGTCAGGTGATCATCAGAGTCCTGATTCATTTCGGTCTCCAAAGGTACATCGTCATCGATAGGCTGTGATTGATCATGATAGGCAGGATGAGAAAGAAAAAACAAAATATGTGAGTAAATCGACGTGAAGAAAGAATCAAGATTACTTACGTTGTTGTTTGATTTGCTGACCCTGGACCGTTTCTTCGATTTATTAGTGCTAGTTTTAGTAGGAGCAGCTTTGGTCCTACACGAAGAGGTCCGAATCGATCCAGACTGGGTCCTCTTGTTTTTGGAATTCGTTGGAAGGGAAATAGCGGTCCGGCCATCAGTTGATGGCTGTACCAGTCCTGGAAGGCTTTTACGAGGAGTCGGAGGGCGTGATGAACGTCGAAGTGGAGTGATTTGACCACTGGCCTGAGAAGGAGGTGGATTGGTGGCATCTTCGCCGGGACTGCTAGCCATGATGAGGGTAATCGATACTGGGGATTGAAGAAATCCGGAAAATCGAAACCAAAAACTAGGAATTGATGTTAATGGGACGAAGGGGTTGCTATCGAATCGCAAAGAGTATGCCTTCAACATCTTGATCGATGGGAAGGGGTTGGGGTTGTCCATCCATCCCCTTACTGCTGAATAAGGCAAGTTGGGGTCGGCTGACGTTGATGGAGGTTGTATGGGGAATCCTGGCTTACGAAGCTGGATTCCGCGAGGGCTGATGACCAGGAATCCTGTGGCCCCGCTGCTGACCCGTTGCATTGCCGGAAGACCCGTTGCAAAAGCAACGCAACCCCCCTGGACTCGGACCCATGTCGGGCAGCGCAGTGTGTAACTGTAAAACACGTTACACTGCGTTGCGTTGCCCGTAAACCCGCTGCGGTGCGTTGCCACTGCGTTGCTCCTTTTTGGCAACGCAGTGGCCCAACGTTGTAGATACTCATGCTGAACCTTAGTAAGATAGGAAGAGTTGGATGATACTGATGAGATCAAGACTTTCTGCAAGAACAATACTACAGTTTTAAAGTGATAACATGCTGGGTCTGGGAGTACAGCATTTTGGAGAAAAAATGACCCCCCCTTGGATTTTTGACACTTATTCTTATCAAGGTTGCACTACTGATTGTAAGAGCATCCACACTCCTTTGCAGTATGTTTCAGTATCTTTTGCGGTACCCACCTGTACGCTAAGTTGAAAATTACATCATTTGTACAATTTCTACACTTGTGTCTAGTATCTGTCATGTATCATTTGTTACTGTGCACATAATGTACACTCCCCTCCAAGTGATTTACATAATTATGGTACTCAAAGCTGTGCATACTTTGCTGTACATAGTTTTTTCTCTTTTGTCGCAACTACACACAATCAGGAAAAACTATGTTTCTGGCTCTGAAGTACATACTTTTGAGCTTCAAACCAAAGACATACTTTTTCCTGGCTGTGTCTAGCTGCAAAAAACAAAAAAAACTATACACAGCAAAGTATACACAGCTTTGAGTATGGTAAATCATTCAAATTTTGCAGCGGTGTGGCCAGGGTTTGTCCCAAACCCGATGATTACAATGCACAGCTTTGAGTACCGTAATTACGTAAATCCCTTGGAGGGGACTGTACATTATGTGCACAGTAACAAATGATACATGACAGATACTAGACACAAGTGTGGAAATTGTACAAGTTATGTAATTTTCAACTTAGCGTACAGGTGGGTACCACAAAAGATACTGAAACATACTGCAAACCAGTGTGGATGCTCTTACAATCAGTAGTGCAACCTTGATAAGAATAAGTGTCAAAAATCCAAGGAGGGTGTCATTTTTTCTCCGAAATGCTGTACTCCCAGAACCAGCATGCTAGCACTTTAAAACTGTAGTATTGTTCTTGCAGAAAGTCTCGAACTCATTAGTATCATCCAACTCTTTCTATTCTACTAACGTTCAGGATGAATATCTGTGTATACTTTGCCGTGTATAGTTTTTTTTGTTTTTTTGCAGCTAGACACAGCCTGGAACAAGTATGTTTTTGGTTTGAAGCTCAAGAATATGTACTTCTGAGCCAGAAACATAGTTTTTCCTGGTCATGAGTAGTTGTGAAAAAAGAAAAAAAAACTATGTATGGCAAAGTATGCACAGCTTTGAGTACCGTAATTATGTAAATCACTGGGAGGGTACTGTACATTATGTGCACAGTAACAAATGATACATGACAGATACTAGACACAAGTGTGGAAATTGTACAAATTATGTCATTTTCAACTTAGCGTACAGGTGGGTACCACAAAAGATACTGAAACATACCACAAACAAGTGTGGATGCTCTTACAATCAGCAGTGCAGCCTTGATAAGACAAAGTGTCCAAAATCCAAGGTGGGTGTCATTTTTTCTCCGAACTGCTGCACTCCCAGAACCAGAACACTAGCACTTTAAAACTATTGTATTGTCCTTGCAGAAAGTCTTGATCTCATCAGTATCATCCAACTCTTTCTATCTTACTAAGGTTCAGCATGAGTATCTATGATGACATTTACAAACACCTCCACTGCCAGCATTAAATAGGTTCCCTGGTCGGAACATGACCTAGGCTGGGAATATCATTGAGAGAAGAATGGAGAATCAAATCATCTTGCACTGCACATCTGAGCCATAAAGCATACACTACATATGTGCAAACATCTGAGTAAATCCTTAGCTATCAGCTACATACAGGTCCGCTCAGCTATCTGCTCATCTAGATAAGAAAATCATGTGTAATACATGCTGTAACTTTGTTCAGATTGAGACGCACATTTCAAAATATTGACTACATATATCACAATGGCTACTCAGGAAATATTCATGGAACTGTGTAACAGTAGCAGAATGGGAATCTGATCACTAGGACCCGTATTCCCATCTGGGAACCTCTTTAATGCTGGCAGTGCTCCCTACTATTGTTGAGTGGAGTGAACCTGACCAAAAGGTATAGTTGGTCATACCTTTTTTTTATCAAAGCTTCCAGCTTAACAATTTGCTTTTGTTTTTTTGAGATCTTACTTGAACCCTACACGTACCTTGGGATCAACACTGATAAGGAGCTTCCAGCAATGGTCACCAGGGCTTTCAATCATTGGTATCAAGTTCCACAGCCTGCACTGGATATTATTTTGAAGATTGTTGGACCAATACATGTTGCCAGTCTATTGTTTGTAACTTTTGATTTGTTTACATTTTCACATGAGTGATCTGACACCTTTCATCAAAATCTACCTCTATAGAATCGATGACATCCAAGATGATTCTGATTTGAGAAAAGGGAAACCAGGTATGTTATGAGTCCTAATCCCTGTTCATCTCACTGATAAGAATTGTTTCTGCTTCAGTGGCTCATACGGTATACGGTGTGGCACAGACCATAAACACAGCCACGTACGTGTGACACACGTCTTCTCTCTCTTGCAATGGCCCGTACACTCAGTGACCACCCCACTTCCCAGTTATGTGTTCTTTGATGCCTACCGCAACATCTCAAAACTAACACCGTTTTTAAAATCGCCTGAGATCACTGATTTGGGGAGCATTATCGATGGTAAACAATAATCTGAGCCTTGTTCAAATTTAACAATTCCACATCCTGATATTGGTTCTGGGTTCAGATGAGATTATGGCACTTCATCGCGGTCAAGGGAAAGACTTGTACTGGAGGGACTCCTTGATATGCCCTACAGAGGAAGAGTATCTCCGAATGATACACAACAGTTCAGTCTATCACTTCTTTGTTCTCCTTTCCTATTGATGCTGATTTGTGGTCATCTTCCGCTCAGAAACGGGAGCTATGTTTCGATTACCAATCAAGTTGTGCAAGCTCTATCTCCAGTGGAATCGCTACCGTGAGTTAGATACTTTTTGGACAATGTTTGTTCTGTAGCCCACTCTGACATATATAATATGGGAACAGTGACTGCTTTCCATTGGTGAATATAATCGGTATCCTCGCTCAAATTCAGAATGATCTCTTGAGCCTATCTCGCGAGGTCAGTTTCAACACATGAATTTATTTTATCGCTCTTGAGATCAATTATGAATCATACTTTTTCTTGAACATTCTGTGACAGTTTACAGAAGATAAAGGATTTTGCGAGGATTTTTCCGAGGGAAAATTTAGCTTTCCAATCATTCATGCAATAAAGGCTGATAGCTCAAACAGTCTATTAATGGGTAAGATGCTCTTAACATCATTCAAATTCATTCCTTTTCTCAACTTGATGAAAATCTATCAATCATTCTCTTTATTAGATATCTTACGGTCACGTCCAAAAGATGAGGCCACGAAGAGAAAGGCATTAAGATATATGAATGATCAAACAAAATCATTAGATCATGCTTTCAAGGTTATTCGTAAATTGGAGAAAATTGCAAAGGAAGAGATAGAGAAGTTAGGTGGGAACCCAGAATTGAGCTCTATCTTTGAGCTCATTCATTTTTCTTCAACTCCTGAAATTGATGACCAATAGAAAGCTACATGGGGTTCTCATATAGAACATGAGTTCCTGATTCAAGTCTATCAACACATTGATGTTGTGATGTTCTAAAGCAGATTTTTTATCATTGTTCTGACACATCTATATTATACATAGGCTCTGATCTAATCATCCATGTAGGACATATAATGTGTGCCACATTAGAATCACCAAGTGGTATGAAAGACAAAGCATTCAATCTTGTATAGTGAAGAGACTCGTATAACCTTGCAAAAATTAGATTGCAAAAGGAATCAAACAAGTCTAATGGCATAGTGATAATTAACAATGATGTCATAATAAGATGAGAT